GCTTTGTTGTTTCTCAGTTAGATGGCCCCTTGTTTATCTTCCAGCATGCGGGACCCCAGATTCTGTGTAATTTGACAGCTTGGCACCATCAGCTTTCTTCACCACATTTCCTTATGTACCTGCTTTGTCTTCAGCATTCGTGTCGGTGCACAAGAAAATGTGGTGAAGAAAGCGGATGGCTACCAAAAGATGTAGCACCTGAAGTCACTGAAGACAATGGGTGCACAAGCAAGTGTGGTGAAGAAAGCTGATGGTTCCCAGCTACCAAAAGATATAGCACCTGAAGCCTTAAAGACCTGAAGATAAACAAGCAGCCATCTAGCTGAGAGACAACAAAACCCACACCGAAGAAGCACACCAGCCTGGCCCTACTCGATCGCTGAGGACAAAGAGGGTACATTAGCAAAAGTGGTGAAGAAAGCAGATGGTGCCCAGCTATCAAATGATACAACATCTGGGGTCTTAAAGGCTTGAAGAAAAACAGGCAGCCATCTAGCTAAGAAACAACAAAACCCACAAGGAAGAAGCACACCAGCATGTTGTAATTTTGAGGGAACCTACCAAAGAATGAAAACCGAGTAGTATCACTGAAGGATGTAGATTGATTATGGATTAAAATGGTGAATAAAAATGGCTAGCTTCAAGCGACATCTTTAGAACATTGCAGAAAATAAAAAATGAAGATAAATTCTAGGAGATGCAAGAGAGCAACAAAGGTTGCTTACAAAGGAAAGAAAGAATGACATTGGAATTCTTAATCATAGCACCCAAAATTAGAATATAATAAAACAATGATTTCAAATTTCAACATTCAAAAACTGAGTTTTATTTCTAGCAAAACTGTACATCAATTATAAATATAGAATAAAGACATTTTGAGACATATGTGGTCTAATAAAATTAGATTCTGTGCAACTTTTTTCAGTAATACTTAAAGCAGAAGAGAACAAGAAAGAAAATTGGATCAGAAAACATAAAAGCAACATAAAGAGAAGTGAAAGGAAGTTCTAGGATGACAGGGAGCCAGGGGCAACATGGTTTTCTCCTACAAGAAGTTATAATGACTTCCATATTAGTTTTAGTTATTTGAAGACTTGTTAAGAAAAAGCCAAAGATAAAGCAAAAAACCCCAAACAAATAAAAGAGCCAAACAGTTGCCATCAGTCAATTCTGATATATGATAACCCCATATGTTAGAGTAGAAAAGTATTCAATGCCTTAATTTTTCCAGATGTAGATTGCCAGTCCTTTATTCCAAGGCCTCTCTGGAGAGACTTGAACTGCCAGTCTTTTCATTAGCACATGAGCACTTCAACATTTGCATCACCCAAGGATATCAAGAAATAGTAAAAGGCTTATGAAAAACTGAGAAAGTAAAGAAATACAGTAATTCTGGACTCTAGACTTTATAAGAAAGGAAATATAATCAGACTGTAGTACGTGGATGAGCAGTTTAAAACAAAACAAAATAGAAAGCATCAAAAACTATACTCACCTCAAAATAATATTGAGTTTTACCAAAAATTGTGGTATTTCTCTTTTGGGCAAATGATAGCGGAGTGAAACAGAAGTAGATATTTGTGTGTCTGTGTGCATGCCAAATTTTCCTCTTCCATATTAGGAAATTAATAGACACTGTGAATCAGGTAAATTAAAAAGTAGCAGAGAATATATTCTAGAAATATTGTAGTAAATTTTAGAAAAGACCTCAGAAGAATTGAAAGTGATTTCTACTGGAGTGTGTGATCACTGTTAGACTACCCAATGCAAGGTAGGCATGGGCTTATTTGTGCTTGCTTATTAATCTGTACTGTTCACTACAAACCCACGCTTACCTTGCTTCTTGGGTAATTCACCCCTGAGTGTGACAGAGAGGAAAGAGAGGTTTGTTGTTTTTTCTTAGAAGCTCCATAGTACTTTTGGATTAAAATAAAACCCAAAAACCTACTCTTGTATTTTTCCTCCAAAAAACCCAAAACAGCCAAGAACCTCATTGACATCAAGTCAATGTTGACTCATAGTGACCACCCTGTGGGTTTCAGAGACTGTCCCTGTTTATGAGAGTTGAAAACCTGGTCAGTCTCTTGCAGAACTCCTGGTGGTTTTAAACTGCTAACCATGCAGTCCAATGTGTAACCACTATTCCACCAGGATTCCAGCTTGGTAAAAATTAAAACCAATTATTAAAAGACATTACAGGACAGTTTAGGGGGAAATATTTTAATTAAGCATTTTTGAAAGCAGAAAGACAGGAAAATAGACCCAACTAGCTGAGAGACCTGAGGCGGTATACACAGAATCTGGGGAATGGACCAGCAGTGTTTATAAGTCTTAATAATCTTCATCAATAGATACATTTATCTTCAAGCTACCTTCCATCATATTCTACAGACTTCCAATTAGGCTTATTGAAAATCACAAGCACTTTGTATTCTCTTTAAATATTTTTGTTTTGTTTTTTCCCCAATTTTCTATTATCTTTCATTTTATTTTATTTTTAAGTCTCTTGTTTGAGAGTGGGGATAATGACTTACCTTTCCAAGCATAATGAACTCAGTAATGAGGAAAAATGGGTTAAATATGCCAATGTTATAGACGTCTATACTTTTGAGAACTCATTTCTCATCTTCAAGATGTGGGAAAATGAGTTTGCGGATACCTCATATTTAGGTTAAATGTTCTGTTTAACACCTCTCCTTTATATTTTGTGATGTTGTCTCTTAGTGAATCAGGTGTAGGTTACAAGCCAAAGTAAAAAATATAGGAAATGCTAGGACTAAGGATATAGTCGCATACTTACCGCAGTAAATTGGTTTCCATTATATCAGTTATCCAATGAGTATTTGTCCAATGAACTTATTCAAAATCATTGTAGAGCAGTTTAATATAGTGGTCAAATACCTCAACTTTGGAATCAGGTTGATTTAGGTTCGAATCCTAGTATACTGCTAGCTGTGAGACTTGGGGTCAAGTAATATATCTTTTTCAAGTCTCAGTTACCTCATAAGTATTATGGGACTATTAATATCTGCCTCAAAGAGTTAAGTTTGATGAGTCTATAAAGTGTTTTATGTGTGCTTGCGGTTGTAGGTTTATAGACAATGCCATGTAGAGCATGCAGTACATGTAACATTACTATTATTCCTATAATGACACATTGTTTATATTTTGTTTTCTAGGTGCAGCCATTGGGGCCTCTATCTTATCTATTACTGTCTCGACTGTTGAATATCAAATAGCTTTAAGAAAATCCTTGCCTGATACAAAGCTTATTGAAGGATTCTATCCCAGACTCACATATCTCTTTTATAAGTTGTTTACATTATCATCTTGGATGCTGAGTGTTGTTCTTTTACTACTCCTAAATGTTAAGATTGCTTTTCTTCTTTTGTCTTGTCTTTGGATTTTAGGTATAGCATGGGCATTTAAAAAGCAGACTAAGTTTTGTTCTTCCGGAGGTATGGAATACTTATACAGGATTGTTGTTGGATTCATTCTGGTCTTTACATTTTTTAATATTATGGGACAGAATACCAAATGCCCAATGTCTTGTTATTATATCCTAAGAGTACTGGCCACATTGTGGATATTTATTATGTTCTGGCTCTGCCCATCTTCTATTTTTAATTCAGATGAATTAATAATTGTCACTATCACGACTGCTCTTACTCTTCTCCTTGGAATTATTTTTCTTATTGTTTATTATGGAATTTTTCACCCAAATAGAAGTGAGGAAAACCAGCCTGATGAAGTTGATGGAAAACTTGTTAAAAAACATTGTAGAATGAGATATTTCCTAATGGAATAACCTATTCTTTTTATAAAATGTTTTTTTTAAAAATTGTGTCTCATTGATTATTAAAGACAAAGTTGTGTGTTTGTTTCATCTATTGTTTTTGCCTTCTCTAATTTGAGAACATTTCTAGTACACTAATTACAAATGTGAGAGATATAGTGTAATAATTTGCATTATTTAAATAAATTTCACATTTGGTTTTGAAGATCTTGGGTGTTCATATGCTTGCCTGTTGTCCTTTAGGGCTGTCACTTTGAGCGTGAATTGGAAGACATAGTCTGGGGCTCATAATTAAAAGACTGGCATAAAGCTCCTCTCCAACGTCTCCATTGTGCCTGATCCCAAATGGAAGTTCCTCTTGTGGAGAACTGAAAATGCAAGAGAAGAGCAGAGTATCCTGTGTGTTTTCCTCTATTGTCTTGATTCAGTGCACACATTTTGAGCTGGGGGATAAGTTGAGTAGAAGAAAAGGGAAAGGAAGGAAAGAGGAAGAAAACAAATTCTTACAGTGTACCTGGTATCCTCCTTTTCTGCCATTCTACCAATTCACTAGCATGAAAGGGAACTAGTATATATTTGAGAAGATTATTTAAAAAATTCATTATTTGCTTATTTTTCAGCTTTTGTGAATGAATGCATAAGAATGCTATTAATTATATTTGTACTAAAATAGTTGTAAGCAAATATTATATTAATAGCAAATATTATATTAATAGGTTGTGTTAGTCTGGGTGGACTGGAGAAACAAATTTCATAGATATTCATGTGTCTTTACAAAAGAGCTTTATATACAAGAGCAATTGAATATTGAGAAAACATCCCAGCCCCGTCCAGATCAAGTTCATAAGTCCTATATTAGCCCATATAGTCAATACCAATCTATAAATTCCTCTTCAGACTTATGAAACACATGGAATGACGCTAAATGCAGGAAGATCACAGGCCAGTGGCAATGGAAGCATCTCAGTGTTGGCAGGGGTATCCACGTGGCTCCTTGAGCTCCTGGCCTCTTTTGTACTTGGCCTCCAAGTATCTTGTCTGCAAGCATGTCTTGCAGGGAGTGAGCGTGTATCTCGCCTTCAGGTAGTTATTTATTTCCTTCCTGCCTCTGAATGAGGTCATCAAGCTGTGACCTGATTGATAGGCTAAGCTCCACCCCTTCACACAAGTCTTAAATGACAAAAGATTATGTAACTACCACCTAGGTTTATGCCTATTACCTTCTAGTGTAGTGGTAATGCTGCGTAAGCTTTAATACAGTACCTCATGTGGTGACTCCCAACCACAAAATTATTTTCATTGCTACTTCATAACTCAGTTTGCTATTGTTATGAATCGGGCAACCCCTGTGAAAGGGTTGTTCAACCCCCAAAGGGGTCGCAACCCACATGTTGAGAACCACTGTTCTAGGGAGATGTTAATTTAGCCCTTGGACAATAGAGAAAGCAATTGGATTTGGCTCAACTCCTGGGAATAATGATGCTTTCCCAACAGAATTCTTTTTCATTCTTCTTGGGTCAACCCTTAATCAATGAGTTCTTAAATAATAAATAAAAACTTGAAATATAAATTTTTCAAATAATAAATGATAATTCAAAGTAAAAAGCTGACATAAGACCAAAACACAGATGACTCCACTGAAAGCTGTGTTCTCTTGCCCCCTGCCCCATACCTGTTGGATGAGTGTGGGCAGCTCAACCTACCAGGGAATCCGCCATGCTGCACCAGCCTTTTGCTTTCCTGCCTTTGGTAAGCATTTTCACACCTTTGCTTACTGTGACAGTCGATGATAAATCTGGTGTTGCCTGTTTGTTTTTTTTTGCTGTTGGTAATTTTGTGCCGTGTCTTTGCCTTGCTTTTTCTGCTCGCTGCCCTACAGTTGGTTCGGTTTCATGTTACAAACAGAAAAGCTATCCAAGACCCGCTGCCCGCCCCACCACACCCCGACTTTATTGCCCCCTTCACATAGCCCCTTCTTAGTCCACAACAAAAGTTACCACAGAAGGTTTCCTTTGTATAGAATATTTATTTTGAAGCTCTATTTTAATAGTATTTATTTTAGAAAGTCTACTATTGTAAGAGTTCTTCTGTTTGAGAAGAAAAAACAAGTTAAAAACAATGTACTGATCTAGAAAATATATGTAAATATATATATTGTTAAATATACAAAAAAGCTGACATAGTCTTATATTTAATATAAAACTGTTTTACAGCTCTTGAGAAGAAGACTGAACTTAAAGGATACAACATATTTAAACACTCAAAGGTATTTAAAGGCAACAAGTAAATATTAAGTACTATGTGCTTAGCATTCTGCTAGGTATAGTTGTGAATTCAAAAACATTTAGAATTCACATCTGTTACTTGAAAAGTTTACATATGAAAACATTTACAGAAACTGATAAACTATTCAGAATGTTTACTATAATGTTTGTAATTTATATTTTGTAGATGAAACAAATATTACATAAAAGAGTGTTTATATAATTGAAAAGCAATCATTTGTTGCCATTTAGTAATTTCAACTCATTGTGACCCCATGTGGGTCAGAGTAGAACTGTATACCGTAGCGTTTTCAAAGTGTGAGATTTCAGAAGCAGGTCTCCAGGCCTTTCTGTACCTCTGAGCAGTTTTGAACTGCCAACCTGTCAGTTGAACAGTTAATCATTTGTGCAACTCTGGGACTCTTTTATATAATTATACCGAGTACATGAAACTCACTATGATGTCTTCTGTGCTATTTTCAGAAGGGTAAGACGCAGCAATTCTGGTTGGAGAGAGGGAACCTGTAGTTAACCTTGAGAACCTGATCCTTCTATATTGAATCCCACTATATATCTACACCCTTCATGTTAAGTGTGTATGGATACACATATGTTTGAGGGGTGAAGGCAGCAAAATAATTTAGGAATAATGGTTTGTAAGATTATTATTAAGCTCATGGCAGCATTTAAGCCAGACTCTTTGAGTCATAAAATTTTCAGTGCCCAAGGAAATTTTACTATTAATCATATATATATATATATATATGTAATTATATACATACTCACCCACACACATATATATCCACACATACATGAGGGGGTATACTCCCCCAAATTGGATTTTTCTTCTATATTTAAATCTTACAAAACAACCTTATCACCATCAAAGGACGCTCCATTACACTTAATACATTGGTCAAATCTGTGATTCCATTCTTGGAAACAGTTTTCAAACTCATCTGTCTGGATGACTGACAGCACCTGCCTCGTTTCTTCTTCACTTATTCTATGTCTTCAAATCACTGTATTTTCATGTCCCTCTTCATTCGTGGAAACAAAAAGAAGTCGCATGGAGCAAGGTCAGGTAAGTAAGGTTCATGGGGCAAGAGAGACATGCTGGATTTTGCCCAAAACTGGCACACTGAGATGGTTGCTTGAGCAGGTGCATTGTCATGGTGGCAAAACCAGTCCACCGTCTGCCACAAATCAGGCCTTTTTGTCGCACTGTTATGCTATCTTCTCAGAATCTCTAAACAAAAACCTTGATTAACAGTCTGACCTGGTGGAAGGAACTCCAAATGCATTTTGAGTCGACATTTTCATGTTTGGGAAGTTGACAGACATCCAGACCGAGGTTTGTCATCAACATTTCACCTTTTTTGAAATGAGAAAACCACTCATATACGTGCATTTTCCCCATAGCACTGTCCTTGTAAGTTGTGTTCAACATCACAACAGTTTCTGCAGTATTTTTCCCTGAGCAGGAAACAAAGTTTTACAACCCCACACTGTTTTCTTAAGTCAGCCATCACAAAAAAACGAGGTTTGTGTGAAACTGCTTTTATTTAAAAAAAAAAAACTGACCAGAGAGAAACTTCCCAGGTGATGCCACTGGGTGCACTAACCCAGGGCAATTTGCTTGATGTTTGCCTAGTGGGAAAAATGTGTACTATGAAAGTTCCGCTCTGCTCTGCGCAATTCAGGGTTTTTTTTGGGGGGTACCTTCATATATATGTATTTATAAGTGGTTTATATAAAAACATAGGTACTGAAAATAAATGGTTGAATGTAGTCTTATGGGTTTAGCTCCTCCACCCTCTCTTCACAATAGCACACTACCTTGCCCC